CTTTCCCAGCTCTTCAAGATAAGTTTTGCCTACAGACTGTGAAAAGCATCTGATAGTCCAGAGCCTAGGGGCAACCATTTGATTTGCGTTGTGAGCACAAATTGTTGGACTGGCATACGTTTTTCAGGGCTGGTTAATGTTCCAGCTTCTGACTTCGTGCTCAGCAGTAAAATGAGTACATGCAAATATGTGGTGTGGGCGAGCATTGCCGTGCGGGAGGTATGCGAGGTACAACAGTAGGCATCTCTACCAAGTTGGTACAGAAAGTTTTATTCCTGTAGAATAACTTAAATGTAGTTATTTATAATGGGTTTTGCACATTTGTGTCTGAACCGTACCTATTCCTTTTTCCTTCCATGTGGTGTTACCTTGTGTTTTATGATTGCTGCATATATGTACAATCAAGTTATGAACGGAGCACAAACAGAAAAGGAACAGAAAGTGTTTTAGCTGCTGAACAGCTCTCCCCATCATATAATTTGTGCTACAAAAATGATATATGGAAAATGTATAGAATCTTGACTTTTGCAGATATGCTTAAAATACTTTCTTGTAGATGTGTATTTTTTTTTTTTCCTAGTAGGGGGTTGTAATAGGAGAGAGATGAGCTTACTTATCTTTTAATGGCAGGAGGTTTTCTATCCCTAGCTGTAAGCCTTCACTTCTTTGTCAGTGCTATTATGTTCTGTATTTAAATGTTGGCAACTAATTTTATTCTTTCAGATTAAGTACTTTGTAAGTAGGCTCACTGCAAATTAGATGTCAGTTAAGGAGCTGTGAAAATGATGAACTTCTTAATAATAAAATAAAAGAAGTGAGATCTTCAAGTTTGTGTAGTCATTTAGCAAATCTAAATTAAATAAGCTTTTCAGTTCAGAAATTGGATGGTTGCAGTGTTCTTCGTAGAACAATAGTTATATTTCCTCGTGGTCCAGGATTCTGACACATTCATACCCTCCACCCTCTCATAGGTATAATAATTCAGTCTGAATAAAGAACTGAAGAACTGCTTCTCCAACAGGTAGTGGTGGGCAGCACGAGTTGAATTTTAATGATACTGAAATTAGAGCAGGTATCATAGTGCCTTCAGGTGTCACGATGCAAAGTAAAACTCCTTGGAAGTGTTTTGGGGTTTTGTGGTGCTGTGGGTAGGAATGAGTATCCTTCTCTCTGCCTTTACTAGTGATGTTGGGAAGCATGGGTAGCTGCCGGTGCTGTGAGGATGTGGAAATGGTGATAGACACCAGGATGCTCACCCTGGGAAGCACCTCACTACCTCCTGCCCCTTGCCTCTTGGCAGTGGAGGCAGGCCCAGCTCCCAGTCTTCCCCACGTCTGATCTCTCTGGAGGGCCAGGGCATGTCCACTGGGATTTTTCTCTCATGGTGGAAGCCACTTAGTGAGGTGAGGCAGGGATCTCTCCCTTCTCCTCTGCTTCTCTGCCCGTTCAGAGCACGGTAACCTCTGCTCCAGCACCTCTTTTCCTGCAATCCTGGCCCTCCTTGGCTCTGTGGGTCTTTCTTGCCTCTGTGCAGAGGGAGGGACTCTGCCGTTCCTGGCGAGGAAGGGCAAACGGAGAGCTGGTCCCTGCTGACTGGTGGGGTCCTGCCCACAGCACTGGGTGCAGGGGAAGCACAGCAGGGCTTGGCTGCCCCACAGTAGCACTAAGTAGGTTGCAAGGCGAGTAGCACAAAGTAGTTTAAGAACTCTTAAAACTTTGTCTCAAGTAAGCCAGTTCTATTCTTTATTTATCTCTCTCTATTTTTATTTCAGTCACTGTTCACTTCTCTCAAATATCTGATTAGAATCCTATCATGTATTCAACACTTCAGATAATGTGTGTTTTACTCTGGAACAAAAAAAAAGGTGGTTTTTGGTTTTTTTAAAGTCGAAGATTAATATAGCATACACTATTAATAAACATTTGATTGTCCTGGGTTTAACTTGCGTGAAAAAGCACAGCGCATAAGGATTGAAAAAGTAAATTGGATAGTAATAAACCTAATTAAGATAAAAGCAAAAATGGAAAAATATTTTTTTAAAATGTTATGTATGGCATGTCTAAGTAACATGAGTAATGAAACTGTTGAAATGAAGCCCTGAGTAATGCGTTAAAAATTCTGTTTGTCACAGATGGACCAGTCGTCTCCAACCTACATGCTTGCCAACTTAACCCACTTGCATTCTGAACAGCTTCTGCAAGGCTTGAACCTCCTTCGCCAACATCACGAGCTCTGTGACATTATCCTTAGAGTTGGCGATGTCAAGATCCATGCCCACAAAGTGGTGCTTGCCAGCATCAGTCCATACTTCAAAGCCATGTTCACTGGGAACCTTTCTGAGAAAGAGAACTCGGAGGTGGAGTTCCAGTGCATTGACGAGGCAGCCCTGCAGGCCATCGTGGAGTATGCCTACACAGGAACTGTGTTTATCTCTCAAGACACTGTAGAGTCGCTTCTTCCAGCTGCGAATCTTCTCCAGATCAAACTGGTGGTGAAGGAGTGTTGTGCGTTTCTGGAAAGCCAGCTCGATCCTGGCAATTGCATCGGGATTTCTCGTTTTGCAGAGACCTATGGCTGCCATGACCTCTACTTGGCTGCTAACAAGTACATTTGTCAAAACTTTGAAGACGTGTGTCAGACGGAAGAATTCTTTGAACTTACGCATTCTGAATTGGATGAAATTGTTTCCAATGACTGCTTGAACGTTGTGACAGAAGAAACTGTCTTCTATGCACTGGAGTCCTGGATCAAGTATGATGTGCAGGAGCGACAGAAGTACTTAGCACAGCTGCTGCACTGTGTTCGGTTGCCACTGCTGAGCGTTAAGTTTCTTACAAGGTTATATGAAGCAAACCATCTCATTCGTGATGACCATACTTGTAAACATCTGCTAAATGAGGCCCTAAAATACCACTTTATGCCTGAACACAGACTTTCCCATCAGACCATGTTGATGACACGACCTCGCTGTGCTCCTAAAGTTCTTTGTGCTGTAGGAGGAAAAGCTGGACTGTTTGCGTGTTTGGAAAGGTAAGTAATAGGTAAAGTTGTTGTAGACTTGAGTGGTGTGATGTGACGTTCATGCATGTTTGTTATTGCCCTGGGTCAGGATTAAGACAGTCATTGAAGAGCTGTGGTTTGCAGGACAGTAGTTACTGCCTTCCTTCATAAGAACTCTTAAGCAGGTTTTTTTTGAACAAAGACAAATGCTGAATTCAAAATGTTTTTTGATTTCACGAGTAATCTTCAATGTTACGGGATTTTGTTTATGCCAATACAAATAGCTATGAAATCATATCATTTTAATTCTGTTGATTGAGAATTTGGTTATTAAAAGTGGTTAATAAAAGTTTGTAAGCTGCTGCTTTATCCTTTCGGGTCTTTTCATTTTTACATATTTTTTCCCTGATCTATTGTTATTCCAGGCAATCAGATCATAAAATTTAACCTAATAAATGACAAATATGCTTCCTGATAACTCGGAAGTCCTTAGAATTAAAATAGACTTAATCAGAGAAGAGCAAAGAGGTAATTCTCAGCAATGTCACATTCTTGTTCATAATGTGACCATGACTTTAGTCTCTGAGCTGAGTAGGTATCCATATCTGTGCTGGCAGAAACAGGTAAGTGCCCATCTTTCTTTACCCGGTGTTCAAAATGAAACTCCTCTTCAGTTACTGGAGTACGTCCCTGAGGCTAATCATGGGAGCAAAAGGAAACTAACAGAGAGAAAAACAGTTTTCTTCCCCATACTGGTATGGTTGGGTTTACTTGTAACAACATTGCATTAACATTTCCCGAAATGGTAGTTAAAACGTGTGTGGCTCTGAGTATATATATGTATACTTATACATACACATACAGTGCTTTGATGTTGAATGTACCCTTATCAGCTCAGCAAATGTTTTCTGCGTTAAGGCAGACTACTGCAACTGGTTCTGCAGCTGAGTTCTGGGATAATGTTTTACTCTGAGATACTCTTTTCTGTGACAGTTCTGTGCTTGCATATACATACACTTGAAAACCTTGGGGGATCTGTATGTTCTTTTTCCCCTGTGTTTAGAGATGATGTCAAAGTTATTTAAAATTAACTTTCCCGATAACAGGGATCGATAGTGAACTAGATGTTCGGCCTGGGAAATGCTGGATTTATAGATTTAAAAAATAAAGGGAGTTTTGTGCTTATTAAAAAATCTGTTTGTTTGAGTGAATAAAGTCATCCTCTGATATTTTTCATCTCTGTTTCTTTCACAGCTTCTTCAATGATTGTAATGATATTACATACCAATGTAGTTTGGATTATTCTGATTTTTTTTAAAACAAAAATGCTCTTTACTACTATTAACCGTGTTTTAATACATACAAATTTGTTCTTTATTATTCATATTAGTCTTTCCTAACCTGTTGTTTCAGTTAATACCTAAATTTAAACAATTGCTGTTGATATACAAAAAAAGTCACAGATTGATTAAACAAAGAATTTCTAATACAATTAAAATTGCAAAGTAGAAAACCTTAATTCCACTATTCTCATTCTCCTTTACATTTGTACTTGCAGGAAGGCTGATTTTTCACTTACAGTTAGCCACTGCTTCATAACAACAAAATTACTTAGAATAGATTTAGTTCTGCTCTTTTCTAACTGGGATGCCACTGTCAAGAGCCAGCCTGGTGTTCCAGCAGTCCCCGCTTCTGGGTTCTTAGTGGCTATCAGCTCTCCAGTGCTTTCATTTTCTTGTTTGTTTTTTGAACAGATCATATTTCCTGTGTACTAGATATTCTTTGAAATCATTTAGTAATTTATTAACTAAACTATTCAGATAGATTGACTAGACTTTATACGTGATAGGCTAGACCCACCATACTTTAACACAGAGTATAATTAAAGACAATGCAAATAAGCAGTATTTTGAAAACAGATTTTTCAAATTAGTTTGTTCTACTTTGGCGTTTTGTTTAAATTGTACGGTGTGTGTGAAATATGTATTTATAAAGCTACCAATTGTACTTTCTGAATATATGTTTGTAGATGTATATATAGACACGTGGTTCCTCCTCTTTAATTCTCCTTTTCTCTCCCATTTCTGTGGCTGTTCTGACTTTTTTTTTGTTTACCCTTCTTATCCCTTTGGTTTGTATTTTTAGCTTACCCCAGTCACAGCCTGCCTCCAAAAGCTTCCGTGGCATCAGCACAAAACTGTCTTCCCTCACGTTACCCATGATGCTGTCCTTCATTCTCTGCAGTCTGCCCGGTTTGGACTTTCAGAATTCATTTCTGGTCTCAGGCTTGGTGCCGTGGCTACTTGCTGTGTTGCTGCATCGCACTGTATGCTGTGAGGCACTGGGGTTTTAACTCTTTACAACAGGAAACAGCATTTGATTTTCGCTTACATTTGGGCTATTGGAAAAAACAGCAAACGTCGGCTAGGATATGAAAGAATCTTAAGATTGTGTTCCTTGATGCTCGTTTGCACTTCACAGAGCTTCGGAAAGTTGGGTTTGCTCACATCATCTTTGTTTTTCTATTTCAGTGTTGAAATGTATTTTCCCCAGAACGACTCCTGGATAGGCCTGGCTCCTCTTAGCATTCCCCGCTATGAATTTGGAATATGTGTCCTAGACCAGAAAATATATGTTGTAGGAGGGATTGCAACCCACGTGTGTCAAGGCATCAGTTACCGGAAGCATGAGAATTCAGTGGAGTGCTGGGACCCCGATACGAACACTTGGACATCTCTTGAAAGGATGTTTGAGAGCCGGAGTACTCTGGGAGTGGTCGTTCTGGCAGGAGAGCTCTACGCCTTAGGTGGCTATGACGGGCAGTCTTATTTACGAACGGTAGAGAAATACATTCCTAAGGTGAAGGAATGGCAGCTAGTGGCCCCGATGAACAAAACCAGAAGTTGTTTTGCTGCAGCTGTCTTGGACGGAATGATATATGCCATTGGTGGTTATGGTCCTGCCCATATGAACAGGTATGTTGTGATGTGTGTAGCTCGATCCATAAGATGGAAGTTGACAAAACTCGCTATGAGGTTTGTGTTCGGCAGCTAATTAGAAATTATTCTAAGATAGATTGGTAATCCACAGTGGGCCTCATTAATGCTTGTTCTGCAGTACGGTCTGATAATTCATCTGGGAAATCTGTGTTGTAACTTTATGTGTTCCAGCTCAGAGCTGGTTTGTTTGGGGTTTTTTTGTTGTTGTTTGGGTTTTTTGTTTGTGTTTTTTTTTTTTTTTTAAATCCTTAAGAGGGACAATGGTAAAGACAAAGATGTATACACATATTATGAAGGTAGGCGGTGCAAGACACCTAACCCTGTAGACACCCAAGCTGGCAACTGAGCAGATCAGTATTGTGGGGGCTTATTTGCTCAGGCCCCAAGGTAGTGTACTTGTACCTGGGTCAGGGCACTGCATCTCAGGTGCTGAGCTCTCGGGAGAGGCTTGCTCAGCGCTGCGCCAGCGCTGTGTGAATCCTACATCAAGCCTGCAAAATATTAGGATGCATGGTTAGCTTTAATGTTGAAAACACTGATTTGGAATGAATAGCATTTTTCACATGCTTAATATACACAAAATAAATATATACCTCACTTGGAATCTTAAAGTACTCCTGATGATAATAATACAGTTCAGGATGATGGTTACTGGTCTGGCTCCTGGGTAGAAGTGGGCTTGCTTCAGACCTTACGTTCACAAGGCATTTTCCTGATACCAGCATGCTCTTTAATTGTCTGTTCCGCATCGCTCTGTGTGTATGGACAGGAGCATTTAGTTATGCAGAGAAACTGTTTGTACTCTTTTCTTTGTTAAAATGGGGAAAAAAATCAGCCATATGTCCCTCCAGGAGGCAAATTAATAAACTAGAAATCTAAATAGCTGAATAAAGAATGAAAATTAAAGTCTTGCTTATAGGAAGGGATACATTGATTGTTTAACAGTGTAATACAACAACATTGCACTAGTCATTAATTGTACTTACTTGTTATACTTGATGTGTTTTTATATAGAACAGTTTGTGAAGCAAAGGATTGGTTTCCAAATAGAAAAGTATATCCAAGTAGTTTTCATTTGGAAAATGAAAACAATATTTTAAATTACTGAAATACAAAACAGCAATAACTTAAACTCTGGTATGGTTGTGATGGGATTTTATGAAACTTAATGTGACATTATTCTCATTTCTTACATTTTAAATTATGAACTGTACTAGCAGTTCACATACTTAACAGGCAAGCAAGCCATCTCTAAAAATTTTCTGTTGATTTCTTCACATGGGATTTTGACCCGGAATAATTAAGTTGTGCTGTTGTCCGGTGTGGTTACTCTTAGCTCCGTACCGTCTTTGTACCACACAGAGCTATGGGCTTTAGTAGGAGCTCAAACAAAGCAAAGTCAGCAGCAGAGCAGAGCAGGCGCACCAGGAGTTACTGTGGCACCTGAGGGATGCTCGCTCCACTGCAGCCCTGTTGCGCTGACCATAAAACAAGCCCTCGCTCTTGCCAGAAGTGGTTCCCCAAAGTTGAATGCTCAGCGTGCACGCAGGACTTCGAAGGGTGAACTCGGTAACCTACTTCTGGGAGGTGTAAGACGTATCGCAGGAGCAATAGGAAATGTCTTTATCAAGCTGGTACCTTTAAAGGGGAAGCTGGGAACGACATTAAAATTCTGCAGTGGTCTTGCTCCTTTACCACATCTTCTCTCTTCCTCAGTCAGAAAGGAAATGCCAGCAGCTCCTGTATAGTTACTGGAATCTGATATTTCATTATTGGCTTTTTTAAATTTAATTTACTTTTTATTGAATAATTTTGGTTTTATTAATTATTCAGGGGTGCGAGTAATATGCCATGCCACACAGCTACTAGACTCATACAAGCTCCAGCGTTAAAAGAATGCCGACTGCTGTGTAATTAAGCACCTTTTCTCCAACTTCATAGTGCTTCTGATTTTCTTTTCCCCTTTTTTCTCGCCCCTTGTGTTACTGAAGCTACACTTCTGACAGGGAATGGCTACGTGCCATGAGTGTGTTAGTGACTATGACCATCTGTACAGTTCCAGTGATTAAAAAAAAAAAAAAGTAATGATGATGATTATTTGTTTCTATTTTATCCTGAAGGCCTCTTCTATCCTTAGTGTTTTGATCCACAACCTCTTTATTGCTTTTCCTGAGGGATTAGCTCTCCATATCCTTTTCCCTCCGTGTTATTTTCAGGCAAGCCTCTAGGAAGTTTTTGATCTGATGTGTTACTCAAATAGACACACTTCAGATCTGCATTGTGTTCAGTTTTTCATGAGTTGCTTTCTTTATAAATAGCAGCAGTCCTCCTTGAAAGAGCTTTCCGTTCTGAGGCGCTTTGAAAAATCTTGCTTTGTTTCGATATGTCACCTGAAGATCCAGGGTAGTGGCAGGAGGACGTCAGAGAAGTGGCTGTGTCAAGATGAAATATGTTAAAACTGCTTTTTGGCAGCACGCTGTTGAGAACCTTCAGCTGCTTTGTGTTGTCGAAGGACTCTAGGATGTGGTTGATGCTTCTGAGGTGATAACACTGGCTTTAGTTTCTTGTGTGCTGCCGTTGGGTTGCGCAAAGCAGCCACGCCACAGAGTTGTTCATCAGCTCGAGCATTTTTAGTTAGTGTTGCGTTATTCCTGTGTATGGTAATACAGGCTGGCAGAACTAGATGTACCTCTGACAAATGCAGATTTCTTGTGGAGTGAAATTCAAATGTCACTAAAATCCAAGCCTCACAAGTTGTTTCTTTGTATTTGCAGCATGGAGCGTTATGATCCCAGTAAAAACTCGTGGGAGACAGTTGCTTCAATGGCTGATAAGCGAATAAACTTTGGTGTCGGTGTCATGCTGGGCTTCATTTTTGTAGTAGGTGGACACAATGGTGTGTCTCACTTATCGAGCATCGAGAGATACGATCCTCATCAAAATCAGTGGACCGTGTGTCGACCCATGAAGGAACCCAGAACAGGTAGGGCCATACAAAACTCTCAGCAGTTAATTCAGATATCCTTTTGTAAATAAACTGCTGTTTGACCTGACAGAAGCTGCAATAAAGTTGCAGTGAGTTGTCTGCAGAGCGTTGTACTCTGTGAATTGGACCAAAGATCACTTAATCAGCTCTGTGAAAGAATAAGTATTTTTCCATTAATTTTGAGTCAATTTCAGCAATTCTGTGGTTACTGTTCTATTGTATTTTATTTTATGTTGAGAGTCAGTAGTGTATCCTCTCTTCTGGTCCCTGACAAGGCGTATTGGGGCAGAAGAACATTGCATTGTCATAGGAAAGGGCACGAGAAGAGTCAAAAAAGGAGTGTAAGACCTGAACAGAGACCGACTCTTCATTTACACCCATTTTCTTTAAAGACAGAGCGGCTGTGAGAAGGTGTCTGTTCAGCCTGCAGGTCAGGGGAGAGGGGGGAAATTAGGAGCAGAAATACTGCTTGGTGCTCATGCCACCCTTTTTTTTTTTTCTTTCCAATAGGAGTTGGTGCAGCTGTAATTGATAACTACCTTTATGTAGTCGGCGGTCATTCAGGGTCATCCTACCTGAACACTGTACAGAAATACGATCCCATCTCAGATACCTGGCTGGACTCTGCTGGGATGATGTACTGTCGATGCAATTTTGGTTTGACTGCACTTTGATGACAAGCGGGACTTTACGGACCTGATGCAAAGATGGAGCTTAACCTGCTTGGAAATAAACCCTGCTGGCGGAGACCATGAGCTGCGTTTTCGGAAGCTGGAAGGTTGGAGGAATGTGGTGAAGTGAGGATTGAAATGAGGAAGGATTTGTTTTCTTCCGATAATTGGCCTTTGTTACTTTAGTGACGTGGGCAGAAGAAATGGAAAGCTTATTACCAGCTGGGTTTAGATGGCATCCTGTTAATGGCAGTGAATTTTAGAGAGTACTGTACATGCCTGGGATATGGTTAGAAAACTTACTGTATATCTAACCCTTTCACTTTCTAGAGCTTTTTCTCTCTTCCTCCTGCCTACTCTGAAACATGAAGTTTACCGTTCTTGGGGTGAGAGACGTGTGAATGTGGTGTATGACTGGACAGTTTGCTGATAGTTGTCTGGTTGTGTCTACATATTAAGAAAATGCCAGTGCTTCATAATTTTTTTTATGAACAGTAACTAAAGGGCTGCCTTGTTTCTGTATCTCAAGGTTTGTAAATAATAAATGCCATAGTATGTTGCCTGTACACTCTCCTTCGTTATCCGCTTACTGGTAGGAGGGCTGGGATGGTAATTAGTAACTACTTAGAGAAATTTACGGGGCAAATTTATTGCCTCTTAATGAAATTTTTGGATCTGCTGAAGAGAAATCACAATTTTCACTTTCCCTTATATTTTCTTTTTGTGGATAAATGAGCGCTAGATTAAATGACTTTAATCTTGCTAGTCTGCTGTGTGTTTTCAGCTGTAATGCAAGGAAAAATTACCACAGTAATGCATCAGAAGATGCCACAGCAGCATTCATAGCGTGATACAAAATAAATACTCGGAAATGAATCCGTCCCGTCCTTCTCCTAAGCGCACTTGTGTCCATATTCCATATAACTTCCTTTTTTAAAAGAATGTATGATTGCTTTCTCAGAGTGTTCAGATATAAAAATGGTGCTAAATGTAGGACTTAACGATAAGGCTGTTACTGATTTTTAGTGCGGTATGCATAAAGCATGATTGTTTTGATTGTTCTAGTGTTTTTGTTTCCTATTTGCTTGATGCATTCGTGCCTATGAAAACTGTCAAGAATAACACAACGTACTGAACGAGCTCTACGTTTGTTACATTAGTATTTTATTTTTCAGAAGATCTACTTTTATTGTTCCTCTTCTCACAAATTCATAAATAGGGAGTGAGTCGCGGGACCCCATCTCGGGTTCTTCAGACAGTCTTGCCTTCACCGCAGGCTGCAGTGAAGGAAAGGCACGGGGCAAAGCGTGCGTCCTGTGGAGCGCAGCACTGGAGGTCAGTTCCTGTGATTAGCCAGAATCTCTCGAGTGATATAACTTTGTGATAGCCCTAAACTTAGTGAAAATTTGCGCAGGTAAATAGAAAGTGATGCTGTGGGTTATAAACATTATTTAAAATAGATGACTGAATAAATATGAGTTTTAGCTAATTTAGAATGGTTTGGTTTGTTTTCTGATTTTTAACTAGGAGTTGTGGTTATCTTGAATTTCTGTTTTGATGTCTGTATGTGTATTGCCAGGCCTGGTACTGAAGAATTTTTCTGCCTCCAGAGTTATTTTCCCCTTGTTTTAACATGTTAAATTAATGTTTGTTTCCCCTTGTTTTTCAAGCCCATATAGTATTATTTTTGAAGGTGCAATAATATTTGAAATAGTTGCTTTAAAAGCCATTTCTTTATAAGTATGCTAAGTGGAGGTTTTGGCGTGTACTTGATTTATCTGGAGTTCCTGCAAAGCTAATTGCAGCCAAGCAAACAGTGGTGTTTCTTGTTCTTCCATACGCTAATGTTCAGATTTCAAGCAGTCGAGGAGACGAGGGTGTTTTCACCATAAAACATTATTCACAGATAACCGGTGTTTGCACAGATTATAAAATCCTGCACATATTCTTCAGATTTGGTAGAATTAAGCAGGACTTTGAAAGCAAATGAAATTAACTGCCGCATTTTCAATGCAGTTTATTTGACCCACTAAGGATTCTAGTTATATAGCAATAATAGCGTAATTTAATTATTCTAGTGAATCTCTTGATAGGACGCAAGTAGCCACATGGTTGTACGTTGTGTGTTTGTGTGGGGGGAGGAGAAGGAAGGGGAGCAGGTTTGGGGACTGAGGGGATGTTTCAGCCTGTCCCGTAGGTTGCCTTCTCCTTCTGTTCAGGTAAACGCACAAGCTGAATGTTTCCATGTGCTGTTTTACTTTTCAGTCTCTTTCACAGAGATGCCATTGATTGTCGTATTTTCCAATATACACCTGAGATAAAGATGCTCAACAAACTAATATTAAAAGAAAAAGAACAACAGCAAAATTCTGTGCTTAAAAGAGAAGTTTATGCCTTTTATTGATACAAGGCTTTCCATGCAGTTGGATATCTACCATACTTTTAACGACCATAGGATTCCATGAATGAAGATGCTCATACGCATGTTCTGACTGAAGTATTAGTAAAGACTGTTTTGAGTTAGCACAAAGTGGTGCAAGGTATAGAAATCGTTTTGACTTCATCAGAACAAAAACTCTGTCGATTGGGGTTATTCAATGTTTATATAAACATCTATCCTTTATGGAAGTCAAAGCACTTAAAATTGCAAAGTGTTTTATTCTCTCTGCCTAGGCAGTGGCAATGTTAAATGAGGTGACAGAGATTGACCCCATATTATGTCATGTGGTATTGCTAAATTTAAGATAGCAGCATAAACAATTTTTTAGTATGCAGACTTGGTATGAGGAATGGGAAAAATACCTGATGAAATATACTGCTGTTATTTGATGAACTGTTTAGCTAGAAATGGATTGAACAGTGTATCAACCTAGGGATTGTGTCACTTAAAATCATGCCATCTTCAGTTTCTGTTCTGGGTGCTTGTTGTCCTGTTCACTGAAGTGCTTGGTTATAGGAAGATCAGACACAACAGTCAGTTTAAACCTGCGTTTAAGGAACAATACTCTCATTTTAATGTCTGTCTTGCAGTTTAAAAATGAAGGACCTTCAAATAAGATGTCATACAACTATAAATTATCATCCAGTTCTATTTCTTAGTCACTCAAAATTATCTGTAAAGCACTTTAAAATGGGTATGAGTTTATATGTGTACATACAGTTCCTGAATTTCTGCCTTTTTTTTTTTTTTTAATTAAGCTATTCATCTGTAAGCTGCTTGACAGTCTCTCCTACTAGGAATGCTTTTCTTTCAGAAAGTCTAGTTGGAATTTCTAGAGGGGCAAATGTCCAGTGCGCATTACAAACAGCTAACTTTTTGTGGGAGATAGTGTGTACTTTTGTGAATTTGCCATCTGTGAGTCCCCATTCACTATATGAAACAATGCAAAATGTCCAAGCTTGCCTTAAATTCTTGATATTTAACTGAAACGCAAAGAACTGGATGATAATTCCTAATTTTTTGCCTTATGCGCTGTGCTGTATTTTAAACCCAAGGATAACTATAATTTTTAGCAGGATTTAATAATTGTACAGAGAATACCAAATTGTACTCGGACTTGACCAGAGTGCTTTGGTTGGGAGTATAAAATGATATATGTAGTTTTGTGTATGTAGAGTGTTTTTATGTGTACATCTTTTTTAGCAGCAACGTTCCAGTTTTGTTATTGTTTACAGAAGTGGCATTTGAGTTCAACAGGAAAATAACTGTAACCTGCATTCTCAGTCCTTACTAGTGTTCTCAGTGTGTTTGCTCTCGTGATAATGCTCTGTAAGTATTGTTGTAACTATTTCATTGAATGTGAAACAATTTAGTAAATAAACCTTGGGAAAAACTTATTTTTATACTTTTGTTGGACAGTGAATATAGATCCGCTGTAGGTTTAGTCTCCTAATGCGGTAATGTCTGGGTGAGTTGTCACTCGAAAGCGGCGGTTCCTCAGCGCCGCAGGGTGACGCTGGGACTAAGGGAGGTGGAGCAGGAGGGTGCTCACCCTTCTGGGGTAGGAGACCCTGACCCCAGGAACCACGTTGCTGGTCTTTGCCCCGCTGGTATTAGAAGCTCCTGTGGACGAGGATTTGAGTAAGTGGCTTGTGATTTCCCATCTGTCCCTGTAGCCGTAACTGGTGTCTCCCTGATGAATCGGCACCCATGGAGGGAACACGCAAACCCACTTGTTCCTGCGTTCCTTGGCAGAAGAGCATGCTCTAGAAAGCTCCCATACAAACTGTTCCCTCCTGGTGAAGTCCCAGCGTCACTGACTGTCTCTGCAGAAATGTGATCTGTGCAGCGCCGAAGGGGTTTGCAGCTAAGTAATTTTAGTTTGCTGTTAGACAGCTCCTCACGTTTGTGTTGGAGGCAGTGCTTTCGCCTCGGGTGGTGGTTTACACAAAGTCACAACAGGCACCCCTCTCTCTCCATTACTGAAATGGAAATTTAAGGTTTGGCAATTATGCGGTGAATTTTTTTTATTTTTTTTTTTTGCTGGCTTCATTTAAATATGGGCAGAAATGGTTAATTCTTTTTTACATAGTTGAGAGCAGGGATTATTGTACTGAACTCGCTTGCCCAAGGCCTGAATTCAGCTTCTGGTCGCTGCTGTAGGAGATGCCATTCACCACTGGTCCTCACAGGTGTTCAACAATACTGTCTGTGAAACCTGTAATCATCTAATCTGTGAACTACAGCTGGGAGCCACTGCCTTTTATAGTCTGGGTGGTGCTGAAGCTGGCACAAAAGGAAAATACTCAAGTGAATTTCTTGGGGTGGGGGGATTTATTACATTAATCAGAGACTTTCAGTAATCAAATACCCATTAAGGACTTAGTTTTAGCTTTCCCTAAGTTTAAAGGTTGCTATTACACAATGATGTAGCAGGTACTTCACAACACATTTGACAAGTAGACAGGGCAGGTGAGGATTTCTTCCAGTTTATGCTGAAGTTATCTATTTTTTTAAAAAAACAAGATTGTGTCAGAAGACTACAAACACCTTGCGTAGCATTTGCTTAAAACGCTGCTGTAGGCCTCCTCTTTCTTCGGGTCCCAACTATACAGAATACACAGACCTTAATTTTAGGAGTGGCCAAAAATATAAAAATCCGGTGCTTTACTTTTAAAAACAAAACAAAAAAAGACAAGGCTCTCGGCCTCCTTTTCCCCAGGCTTTTCTCGAGGCAGCGCAGCTGGCTGCATATCCACACCTTTCCCCCCAGAAGGGAAGGACGTGGTGGGGATCAGAGCCATCGACGGCCAGTCCCGGCGCCCCAAGTGCTGCAGCCTCTGGGGCTGCTGGCCTCTTCTCCCTCCAATTTTTGAAGGCAGTTTATGATCTCTTTTTTTTTTTTTTTTTTTTTTTTAACCCAGACATTGCTTTAATTTACTATTAATGCACTTTCACAAGCTCCAGCACATACAGGATCAAAGTACTCCAATGTTAAGACTCGGCATAAAAATCATTATTGCCCTGTAAAATGAGACGTATCCAGTCATTTAAAGTGTCCTTCTATCGTTTTGAACTTTGTCAGAATTAAAAATTGCAGAGATGATGTCTTAATGACTC